CACCAGGCTCACACCACACACGTGCAAGGACTGCGGAAGCACTGCGAGTGGACGAAGTTAAAGCTAGAGTATCTAACTTTCACAACGCAAAAAGTGAAACTGTATTTAACTAGCTCCTCGCTGTCAAAAAAATTTGGTTCAATCATTATATTTCACCTGGGTGTACAGACTCAGTCCTGGATCTAAGGGTTCAGTTCTGGATCTACAGCCTCAGACTTGGATCTACAGTCTCAGTCTTGGATCTACAGCCTCAGTCCTGAATTTTCTTGGATCTACAGCCTCAATCCTGGATTTACAGCCTGAGTCCTGGATCTACAGCCTCAGTCCTGGATCTGAAGCCTCAGTTCTGGATCTGAAGCCTCAGTTCTGGATCTACAGCCTCAGTCCTGGATCTGAAGCCTCAGTTCTGGATCTACAGCCTCAGTTCTGGACCATCCGTCTGTAGGAGCAAATCTTCTCTCAAGAAGATGAAATAAGATAAACATATATTGGTCCACAGACATGGGGCGACAGTGGCTCAATTGGTAGAGCATTGGCCTTAGAGCCTGAAGGTTGTGGGTTCGAGCCCACCATAAGACCTTCTTCACGACTCCCACTGATGACTGCTGTCGTTGTGTCCTTGGGCAAGACACTTTACCCCACTCTACCTGAAGCCTCCGCTGAAAGATCAATGCTCCTGGGGACTCACCACCTGCAGGAGGATCAGTGAGGGGCTGGTGCTATATGTACTGGGTGCAGCTCTGACTGCCACCCCCCTGACTCAGAAATGGATTAAGGGGAAGAAAATGGATGCATGGTCCACAGACACTGATGATCCTGCACGGTAAGTACCAATTACAGCCATGTTTTCAAATGTCTTAAAATGTATGGACATCCCGGGCCCTACGGACTAATGGGTACTATGTTTTTGTGATTTTTGTATTTTCTATGTTGGAGCTACTTTGCAAATTCCTCAAAGATTAGTGCAGCTGTGATTTAGGCCTATACAAAACTTGAAATGAACTTACTTTAAATGCAAACATTTCTCATGTAGCTCTTTCTCAAATTAAATTATAGGTATTTCCTTACCTTTCCTTGTGTGTCCATGTATTAACCAGACATGGACACACAATATAGAAAGTGACCAGTCTGGAATTTATAGCATTTCTAACATGACATTGGGACAGCCTCACACTATATTTTCCTGCCCATTCCAACACACTATGCATCTATCCATGTTAATTCCATCAAGAACTACATTTGATATTTGCCGTTGAAAACCTGATGCCAAACTCGACCCAGACCTTAAATGTCAGCCTGCTTGAATACACATTGTGAATAGCAGGTCCGTTACTCCATGCGTTCGCGTCGGTGAACCAGGACATGACTGACGTGACTTTTCATCTTCGTCGTGAGGAAGATGCCCGAGGAGGGACAAAAGCGTGGGCGACAGACATTATAAAGGACACACAGGGTTAAACTGCTCGTGTCACGGGGCGCCAGAGAGTGTTGACGTTACATGTATTGGAGGTTATGGCATTTTCCTTCTGCATAAATCCAGCTTGTTTGGTTCATGCGTGTTGTGCAATACCCAAGGGAAGACAGGGTACATACTTCTGGTGTTTAAAGTTCTACTCTTTTTACTCTCAACGGTATAAAGGAGGATTTACCCAAAATTTCGGAAAGAACCGCCCTCTGCACTTTTTGAACAAAACTTTCTGTTCTTATCACCAGAATGATTGACAAGTGGGATGACCAATAGTCTTGATGATCCACCCGGAAGCATATTTATTATAACTTGTTGTAATGCATTTTTATTACTATTATTATTACTCATTCATTCATTCATTTTCTGCCCCTTTATTAGTCCATCGGGAGGTGGCAATGAGATCAATGAGAGCTGCCACTCAATGCTCATAGCACCAGTCCCTCTGCAGGTGGTGAGTCCACAGGAAGATGGCTGCTATATCAGAGGTGCCACAGCCTTGGTGTTTCAGCGGGAGCTTCAGGCAATGTGGGGTTAAGTGTCTTGCCCAAGGCACACAATGACAGCAGACATCAGTGGGAGCAGTTGGAGTAGGTCCCAAGGTGGGCTCGAACCCACGACCTTCCAGCCCAAAGACCCATGCTCTACTAACTGAGCTACTGTGAGAATGCAATTTAAGTTGTAATTTTAGTAAATCACATGTGGCTAAAATATATTGTAGAAAGCTTGTATTGTAATTCACTTTAGCTCCAGGAAGACTCCAGGAAGTCTGGGGGCTCATATGTTAAGCATCAGGAAGAAGCAGGCTTTGTGTACGCTGATACGGAGTGTCTTTTGTTGTGTTGGTACTTCCTTTCCTATCTGCATAATATTATGAAGGTGTGTCTTATACTATCAAAAGGACCTTGGAGACTGCTGAGCTTCAGACATGTTTCAGGACACCGGGCACCGTAATAAAGAATGCCTGAACTATGTCTTTTGTCAGGATTGACTGTAAATTACAGCATGAACAGGTATCTGGCCGAAAAACCTTTGTTTTAGTTTTGTCAAAATGAGTTACCATTATGTAATCCACACGTTAAAGCATTAGATTGTAATTTTTTTGTAGAACGACTGGAAATGTCAAACTACTTCTCACTTTATTGGCGCATGCTCAAAACTATTTAAGATAGAATACTGGGTTTGATCATTTTTGGATATTCAGTCTTCACACCCCTTCTGTCTGTGGAAGGCTATAAGGATAATAAAATTTCAACTTTTCAACTACAAGAAATACCCAAAGACTGGTGGTCATTCATGATTATGTATGACCACCGCTTTGTAAAAGGGAACTGAAAAAAACGTGTAATTTCTACAGACACTGATCAGAAATTTCATGGCTGCTGAGTTTTTCAGCTGTGGAGGAATTTGGCAAAAGATGATTCACTTTTTGAGTCGAAATAGGGTCAAAGTAATGGCTCAGCGCAGACGACTTTGATTCAACAGGAAACTGAGGAGAACATTTGGTGCAGAATAGAAAAGAACCAACCTCACTTTCAGTTTGTACCAATATAGAACATAAACGGGAATGTTTTCTTACCTTATGCAAAAACTAACTTGATATAATTATGATTTGGAGGCCATTAAATTGCACACAATCACAAATTCCGGTGTTGTAAAAGTATAAAACAAGAGGCAGTGATTATTTCCAGTTTTCCAGAAAGAACACTTTTTTAACATGTTACCAAAATGTCCATAACATACGTACACTGTAAAAGTACCATGGTTCTTCTATACCAGGCAATAGTAGGTCAGCGATGTTACTACCTTAAGGCACACCGTGACCTTAAAGATTAAATCCTACAAATATTCTTAAGACAAACAATAATCTTTTTTGTCTCAAGGTCGATTTGGAGAAGGCCATCGTTCAACACCAGCATGTGAGGGAATGTTTGAGATGAGATATAAGACAGAATCAACTTTTTTCAGAATAGTAACCCCAACCCTAACCCTAACCTTTGAGAAACTTTTTATACTGCTTTCCTTACTTATTTCTATGAAAAAGCTCCTCAACATTAAAAAAGAAGAGGCGTTAGCTAGACAGTGATAATTTAAATCTATGGCTTCCAGAAAAACAAAGTATAGTTTCACATCTTGCAGTTTCATTTATTCATTTCATTTATTTATTCCCTCATTCACCCCATAGAGACCTGAAATGGAGACGGAAGAAGAAGGAAGACGTAACTAAGTAAGAAGTAAGTTCCTTGCTGTAAAGCCAGGCTACCAAACTTTCATACCACAAAAACATGGCATGATGTACTACAGCTCCTCACTCTCAAAACACTGAAGTGTTTTTTTTTTTTTATCTCAAAACAGTGTTTTCACTAGTGTTCTCATGCTTGTATTGATGTGTTAACTTTTTTTCTCTCTACCTCTTAATGCTGAAAAAATGTAAAAAAAACGCCATTATAAGCAATATGGATTTCCATTTTGAATATGATAATAATAATAATCATAATAATGCATCGGTTTTACAGTATATAGCGCTTTTTTGGATTCTCCAAGACGCTTCACATGTCATTATTCATTCACTCCATACACGGTGGTGATAAACTACTCCGACCACCACCAACCATTCACACACACACCAGACTCATTCTGGGCAATGGGGGTGAAGTGTCTTGCCTAAGGACACAACTGCAGTTTGGCACTTTACAGCCGCAGCCGCCCTACTGTTGCACCTGGTTTTCCCAGAGGTTAAGTGTCTTGCTAAGGACACAACAGCAGCAGCTATCAGTGGGAGTTGGTGGAGAAAGTCTTGTGGTGGGCTCGAACCCATGACCGACTGTCGCCCCTAATGTGCTCTATTCTCTAAGATTAAGATTAAGGGATCTTTTGTTTGTCCCACAGTGGGGAAATGTAAGTGTTGCATCACCTGGTTAGAGAACAGTAGGAATGAGGACAAGATAAATGAACAAAAACTCTATACTAAAATACTACAAAATAAAAACTATAACTTTAGCATATTAAAGAAGCAAGTCTAAAACCTACAACTTTAGCATTATGAAGAATCTTTTTTTTCCTTCATCCTCTATGCATCATTTGAATCAAAGACCTTGAAATGGTTTGTTCTGAACGCCCTGCACGCAAACCTCACGTTCCCTCCACATTTGTCTTGATAGTGCTTTTGGGGCATCTCTCCCCTGTGTCTGCACTTGGCACAGCTCCTAATGGGCACGCTCCATAAACCGACCTTTTATGTGGCGCCAACGAGCTCCGCACCGCAAGAATAGCCCAAACAAACAGCGCTTCACAACCCGAAAAGACGATTCTACTCATAATACTGGGGGGAAAAGGACCTCATGTGTTTGTTTGCAAAGGTACTTAAGACAAGGGTGGTAACGGAGAGAGAGAGAGAGGTTGACGAGGCATGTGTTGTGTTGCCGTAAAGCGATAGGGATGACATTTTTGAATAAGAGACAAAGCCAAAAGAAAGATCAAAAGTAGCACAATTATATAAGATGTAGACACAGAATCGCTACAAAGCAGTTAGTACCTGATTCCTTTGATTTGTGCGATGCTGTGGAGGGAGATCCGTGATAGAGCGGAGATCACCTGCAAGACAGAAAGAGAGGTCACGGTTAGATAAATATGCAATTTGCTTTTGTTTGGCTTGTTTAAATTATATCGGGTTTGGAGAAAACTGTTAGTCATACATTCTGCAAGTTTCATTCAATTACTGTAATGAGTAACACATAATGCAATCACCAACACGTCTTTTGCAATGGTTAAAAACGTTCTGCTGTGTCCTGTGTCTGTAACATATACAATATTTACAGTATATACTCCACAGATTGGGTTGGCTAAAATCACCACCAATAATCAGCGTACACACCATATATATGCTATAGCCCAATGGGGTTAAGGGTTTTTCCTAAGGACACACATTAGACCCACACCTGTTATTACAGTGGTCTCCCATCCAAGTACTAACCAGGCCCATCACTGCTTGGCTCTTTAGATCTCGACAAACATGGTCACAAATAGATGATTTCAGAAGTAAATGAAAGTCCTGGCCAGACTTGGGCAAACTATGTGGTCCCTGGACCCTTCCAAGAATTAATTTGTCAAAAACATGATGGTGTAGATCTGCCAACAATACTCAACTTTCGCAAACCAAAAAAAAAACAAAACAAAAAAATCCATTATTAATGCAATCATTTTCTCAAAAACGATTACACTAAAGATGAGCTATGGACAAACTTGACACAAACGCAAAGAAAACGCCGGATATTTAAGCTCCATGTTTATCATATTCATTGTCTTTTTTTTAAACTAGATTTCAAAATAGCAAAACTGTGTTGCCAAATGTAATGAAAAGCGGTCGGATCCTCCACAATTTGACAATATCCCAGTATGGCCACCCATAGAAAACAAAAAACACAATACTATGATGAAGACTAATAATATATCATCACTCTTATCTATCTTGTTTTATTCCTAGTGCATTCTCCAGTGTCATGTAGGTGTGTATATGTATGTCTTTATGTATATATGCATACCTGATTTACACTTCACAATAAAAACACAACAAAACAACAAAAATGACAAATGCATCTATAAAATAAAATAAAAGCCCTTTCCTGCTCTTGGCTACTTCTGGCTTTTCTACCCATGTTTAATCATGTGTTTTATTACATTGCATTGTGCCCCTTGAAATAAATTCAAATAAACTAAACTATATCTGTTTTCTTACAAAGGTAATTCTAAGAACTATAAGTGATCTCTGATGCTTCAAATGCCCACCAGAAGTAGAGCGTCGCAACATACAATCATGCAATCAACTTGGCATTCTCCGGCAATTTCAATTTCAAGAAATAAACATCCCTGAATGCCTCGTTTGTAATCGTCCACCTTAATCATTCCAACTGCTCTCATTTGCATCTGTACAAATTCACCGGAGCCAGCGTCTCTGGATCTGAAGCTGTGCAGATGGCGCCGGTTTTACCCAGAGCACGCAGCCTCTAAACCAGCCTCCTCCGGCTCATTACCCCCTCAATCCTCCACCTCCTCCTCCTCCTCCTCCTGCAGGATGGATCTGGGTCCGAGCTCCATGACACGGCCAGATGTCCTCGCCTGCAAAACTGTTATGTCAATGAGTCTCCCGGCAATCATATTGGGAATTTTATTGTACATGTAAATCAATGCAATATTTCTGTTTTTTGTAAGTGGGTAAGAAAAAAAATCAGGACTTGGAACAGGTTTGCATCTCCATGAACCAATGTGCTTATAAGCTGCTGATCTAAATTCCAGGTAGGATGATAATATAGTTTAAAGCAAGGTTTCTTTTACTTATACTTTTCAGAAAATATAGTTACAAATGTCCAAGTCCCTGTGGCAGCATATGGAAAATGTCTAAATAACAATCAAATAGATAGCTAACTTGCAATCTCACAAAAAACATAACAATGTAAAACTAGTTCTGGTTCCTAGTTCATACTTTTACCCCCAAAAACCACTGCAGACCCATCTTCTCCTCCTCCTTCCCCACCTGGTAATCCTTCCAGTCCTTCATACGCATCATAATGTACATGTATTTGCTTCATAGTTGTCAGGATGAGTAGACTTTTTGTAGCTCGAGTGCAATTGACCAGAGCGTCCTTTTCCACTCGGAGCAGGTGCCTGGTTCATCACCAGGGCTCAGACTGAGTGGTGTTACGCACGGGGCCATAACACGGGAACACTTAGCGCATAATTCAAGCAGCTACTTACAAAGTCAAACATTTGTGCGTGCAGCTGAAAGTAACGAGCACAATTACCTGTTTTTGTTTTGTTCTGTCTGGGTTTAACATTAGGGGAAAAAATAGCTGTTCATTCATAATACACTGACAAATGAACTTATAGGCTCTGTGCTCTGGTCCAGGCATGTCAAACTCAGGCCCCTAAGCCAAATCCGGCCCGCAAGACCATTTTAAGTAGCCACTGAAATGATTTTTAATTATCTTTATTGCAGTAACTTGCAGCCTTGATGCTAAGTGGCTACTATGGCATGTTATATTTGATGATGAAGTCTATTGTCTCAGGAAAATAGCCATGTACTTCTATCTGTTCTGAAAAGTTAACTAGAAAATTATTAAAAGTTATAGTTACTTCTCTTTTTTACTATCAGTCTCCCAATACATTTGGTCCAGTTGTGTTTGAAGCCTACTGGAAAATATTATCCAAACGTATGTCAAATGCAATTATTTTCCCAAAAGACTTTCATACTTCTGCGCTTCTTATGTGCTTAAATTTGACCCCGACCAAAATGAGTTTGACACCCCTACTCTGGTCCAAAGCAGGCAAAAATTGATGTATTTTTCCTTTTATGCAGTGTGTTATTTTTTGCATACTTGTGAGAGAGACTTTGTGGGAGTCACTGTTTGATGCTTTGGGCTAAGCAAGAGTGGTGCTCTCTTTTTTGCACTTTTCTGTCTGAGAAAGCTGATCTAGACAAGTGACCGAGGGAAAAAATACTTGTATGAGAGATAAGAAATGGGCAGATGGATTTTATTTAATTTATATTGATGTTTTTGTGGTCCATCCATCCATCCATTTTCTTCCGCTTTATCCGTTGCCGGGTCGCGGGGGCAGCAGTCTAAGCAGAGACGCCCAGACTTCCCTATCCACACACACCTCCTCAAGCTCGTCCGGGGGGACCCCTAGGCGTTCCCAGGCCAGCTGAGAGACATAGTCTCTCCAGCGTGTCCTGGGTCTTCCCCGGGGCCTCCTCCCGGTGGGACGTGCCCGGAACACCTCCCCAGGAAGGCGTCCAGGAGGCATCCTGAACAGATGCCCGAGCCACCTCAACTGGTTCCTCTCGACGTGGAGAAGCAGCGGCTCTACTCCGAGCTCCTCCCGTGTGACCGAGCTCCTCACCCTATCTCTAAGGGAGCGCCCAGCCACTCTGCGGAGGAAGCTCATTTCGACCGCTTGTATCCGCGATCTCGTTCTTTCGGTCATTACCCACAGCTCATGACCATAGGTGAGGGAGGGAACGAAGATTGACCGGTAAATTGAGAGCTTTGCCTTTCGGCTCAGCTCCCTCTTTACCACAACGGTCCGATACAGAGACCGCATCACTGCGCACGCTGCACCGATCCGCCTGTCAATCTCACGCTGTTCCACGTCCCAAGAGCCAGATGTTGGGTGTGTGGACTGGGTCGTCGAGGTCTCCGCCTTCGACTGCTGCCCAGTCCTCTCTGCACCTCGCCACCACGGACCCCTCTGCAGGTGGTGAGCCCACAGGAGGGACTGCCCACGTCATCCCTTCGGGCTGAGCCCGGCCGGGCCCCGTGGGCTAAGGCCCGGCCACCAGGCGCTCGCTTGCGAGCCCCGACCCCAGGCCTGGCTCCAGGGTGGGGCCCCGGCTGCGCCATGCCGGGCGACGTCACGGTTTTTGTTGTCGTGCTGTCCATGGTTGGCTTCGGACTGCGCTTCGTCTGACTCGTCACTTGAGACCTGTCTGCCATGGGAGACCCTACCAGGGGCATGAAGCCCCAGACAGCATAGCTCCCAGGATCATCCGAGTGCTCAAACTCCCCCACCACGTTAAGGTGGCAGTCCAAGGGGGGAGTATGTTTTTGTGGTTTTAAAGTTAAAGGTATATAGAAGGATTTTCTACTTCCGGGTGGATCATCAAGAATATTGCTCAACAATATTGGCAGAATTGGGAGAATTGTCAATCATTCTGGTGATACGTTTGTTATTTTTTTAAGCAAGTTTTGTTCAAAAAGTGGAGATTTTCCTAAAAAATGGGAAAATCCTCCAATATACCTTCACGTTCCCCAGTTCAAATTAACTCAATGCAAGCCTAAATACTATAATATATAAAACAAATGTTGAGTCAAGTACAAAACAAGATTTCCCGAATGGAATTAGCCAACATTTCTTATTAAGACCAGTGGCATTTTTGGTCTCACTGGGTCTCACAAGTGCGATTTTGACTTGTCCCATTGGCAAAACCTGTTGTAAACGAGACCATATTTAGTCCAATCAAAATATGATCAACCAACGTCGAGCATTTTTTGCAGTGTATAGTGTGAATTGTTTGTACAGTGCATTGAGAGAAATGTGTTTTTGCCTGCGGTTTATGTCTTAATAAACCATCCAGGGTATAAAGTCACGGCCACAGTAACGCCGCACCTCCCAGGCCTCTCACATCGTTAGCTTCAGTCGGACAAAATTATTCAGAATTTCATATTTGAAGTCACCTGGAGATATTTTCATTTATGCTAAGCGACAATCAGTGTATGCATTTTTCTTGTCTATATTGCGACCGCGGGCTTTCCCTGGAGACATCAGGGGAGTAAGGGAATGGCCTTGCACTGGTCATCAAAACACACCGTAAACACACACAATATAAAAACATAATATGATTTTAACTTTTTCATATGTGTCTGTTTTGTATCAAGGTTAAGCTAGTTAAAAGAGCTACATTTTTATACTTTATACCCTATAGCAAACTACAATACCCGACTAAGGCAAGTTTATCTGTATAGCACAGTTCATACACATTGCTCAACAATACAAGATAAAAACAAAAAAATCATAAAAGGCATTAAAAAAAATAATAATAATCAATGCACATTAAAAATAGAGTGAAGTCAGTTGTACGCACAGATAAACAGAGCCGTTTTTAACCTGGATGGAGGAGAAGCCTGTCTCACATTTTCAGGAAGACTGTTCCATATATTAGCTGCATACAGTAAATCTGAAACGCTGTGTCCACTTTTAAACATGGGGAGGCTGCATTTCAGATTCATGCTGATAAAATCTGAAACATCTTGAAAATGTGAGACTGCAGCTTCTTCTCCAACAATTTTTAAATCGAGGTTAAAAGCGTTTTGTGTAGCTGTTTTATATTTGTATCTTTCTTAATGTGACTCTTTATGCCTTGTGTGATTGTTCTGCACTTTTAGTTGCCTTGCGTATGAATTGTGCTATACAATAAAAACTTACCTTACCTTACCGTCCTGACCCCGGGGACCAGCAGGAGGCCAGTCCCTGTGCTCCTCAAGAGTCCGAGTCGGTTCATATGGCACTAACATGTCACAGATGTACTTTGGTGCGTGGCCATGGAGAGACCAACCATACAACAACAATAACCTGTTTATTCCCAGTCGTAAAGTCCACACGTTAAGGCCGTCATCTCTAATACGTCTGAGTAACAGAAGCCATAAAAACAACCGTAAAACTAACACAACGCAAAGAAGTCGCATAATAAAGCCTTTGAAATAATAGCCTCCATTAAAATGCTAAACATCCGAATCAGTTCCAACAAGCCACCGGAAACGCGCCGTGATGGAACACAATTATAAACAGCCCCGAGCGCGACCAGAGAGCGCCTTTAGAATCTGTATGCAATCGTTATTATGGTAAAGCGCTGGATAAATCTGAAGTTTGGACGCGTTTATGGCCTCGGTGTGGACAGGCAAACACAACGCTCATTAGCATTTATTTGTGCCGAAGGGAGTCACGCACTGGTATCCTTGTATTTGGTTTTGCCACCATTTTGTTTTTTGTTGAGCAATATGAAACCTGTGTCCACTGTCACTTTACTTTACTCATCTGTGCAATAATCATTTCAGTAATGTCAGAATGTGCAATATAGAACCTTGCATGCATGTATAGATGTATACAGATCACTGTATATCTCTAGCACTAAAATATACAGTATATTGCTTCTTTACTAGGCTAAGTTAGACATTTTATACTTCCTTTTTTATTATGCTTAAGTCAGATATGTTAAACTTATTCCTGCTTCTTTTTTATGTTTAAGTAGGAGATTTTAGATTTACTATCCACTATGGGTGACGTAAGCACTCGGCCAGTCCACTTTAGATCAGCTTATTCAGACCGAAAAAGGGGAGGACCACCCTCACTCAGCCAATCAGCTCTCATCGCACTAAAGGAACAGTCAGGTACCCTTTAAAACTAGCTCTGAAACATAAGATCTCTTACTACTGTCCTGCAACATAGAATTTTCCCTCCAGTGGGACAAATAAAGGATCTTTTATCTTATCTAGGTGTGAATGTGAGCTTTTATCCATCAAACAGACTCTGGGACCAATGACCATTCAGAAAATTAGTCAACATAGTACAGCTTGTTTACAACATTATGGAAAACTCTCTAAAACCACTCTCCATGGCCTCGCAGCAAAGTATATAAGTGACATGTTAGTGCCATAAGAACCAACTCGGACTTTGAGGAGCACAGGGACTGGACTCCTGCTGGTGCCAGAGTCAGGACTAAACATGGGGAGGCAGAATTTCAGATTCCAGCAGCAAGAATCTGGAACAATCTTCCTGAAAATGTGAGACAGGCTTCTTCAAAAATAGTTCAAGCTAATGCACTTTGAGTTAGCTTGTGAATGAATATAGCTATACAAATAAACTCACCCTGCCCCCCCCCTTCACACAAGAAACGTAAGAAAGTAAATTAAAATCAGAAATCAACTTTCCCAATATCATCTTGGAGAACAACACGCAAACAATCCAAGGCTTTCAACAGACTCTCTCCTCTGATGTCACCTG